TCACCTCGCTCAGCTCCTCCCGCACCTTTGAGCAGCGAATATCTGTAACTTTCTCTCATTTGTAAAAAAAAAAAATACCATTCATAAAACCATTCCGATTAAACCCACATGGATAACATCTGAGCAATGTGAACCCTTTGCAAACGTTATCTACGTATTATACTTTAAAGCGAAAAGTGTCTTAATTCCGGAACGGTGGCTGAAACTCACCCTCCTTGTGTGTGTTCACACTTTTCACCCCCGGGGGGTCCACAGTGCAAGCGCTGACCTCCGCTGGGGGGCAGGGACCAAGCTATCAGGGGACAGTGGCGCTGAGCACGCCTCCCAGTTAAAACAGGGTCCCAGGGATTCCGATAAAGTTCATAACAAGCAAGAGGTGAGTGGCAGGCTTTTCAGGAAAGCACGGTGACAGAAACTCTGCCTTGAGAAGCTGCGAGGGGGCATTTCTGGACGCCAGGCTGACGATCCCTCCCTTCTTGGTTCAAGGGGGTTCTGCCTCCCCTCCCCCCTGACTGATGCTTGTCATCAGCCAGCTACTTACCCGTACCCTCACACGCACGTACAAGTGTGCACGCGCGCACACGCACACGCACACACACACTACTGTTCCCAGAGGCAGGTGAGCAACAGCAAGAGATACAGGCGCACCTGAGAAGGTGATGTTGAAGCCCTCGTAGGAAATGGAGAAGTCCGAGATGAAACGCAGCTGGGCAGTGAAGTTCCCGAACAGGCCGGCCTTCACGGCGTGCGGCAGCACGGAGCCCGTGAGCCGGGCCACCGGCTCCGCAAAGCTCCCGTCCTCCGTGACCAGCAGGTAGTCGTGAGAGCTCTCCAGGTGAAAGGTGTGGAAGATCATCTGAACCCCTGGGGGCCGGGAGGGAGGGGGGGAGCACGTTAATGGCGGCTGGAGGACAATTCTTCTGGGCTTAGAGACATGGAGGCCTTGTCTGCGTCTAGACCTGTGTCTGCGTCTGTGTCTACACTTGTGTCTGCGTCTACACCTGTGTCTGCATCTACACCTGCATCTGCGTCTACACCTGCGTCTGTGTCGGCGTCTGCACCTGCGTCTGTGTCTGCATTTGCACCTGCGTCTGTGTCTGCATCTGCACCTGCGTCTCTGTCTGTGTCTGCACCTGCGTCTGTGTCTGCATCTGCACCTGCATCTGTTTCTGCGTCTGCACCTGCGTCTGTGTCTGCATCTGCACCTGCGTCTCTGTCTGTGTCTGCACCTGCGTCTGTGTCTGCATCTGCACCTGCGTCTCTGTCTGCGTCTGCACCGGCATCTGTGTCGGCGTCTGCACCTGCGTCTGTGTCGACAGGCGCTCAGGAGGGCGCAGTGGGATGCAGCACATGTAACAGTCCGTCTAACATCAAGCCAAGTTCAGCTCCAAGTGGAAAGACAAAGTCGACCCAATGTTTACGTGATCACAATTCCAAATCATCTCCTTAAAAATGACAGGTTTAGTCACACGAGAAGACTCATGGTACCGTCCGAGTCCAATGACTATAAAGTACATATCCTTCAGAGTGCAAGTTCTCCTGGTCTTCAGATATCTGGATACGCAGGGAGGTTAATGAAAACGGCCCCCGAGTCACGCCTGGATTACGTGACGATGAGTGACGTGTCACGCGTAAGAACACGGGGTAGCTCAGAGCAGCAGACAGCGCAAAAGTGGCCCCACCCAGGTCTATCCCGGAAACTAGAAGTTCAGGTCGTTTCTTCTCATTTCCCCGTATTTAATCAATATTTGTATCGTGTGCCATCTATGCCTCTTTTTCTTACCATTACAGCTAATTTTAAAGCTTATGTTCCCAGTTATCTGATAAACAGAATTAAACAAGAAATATACTTTTGCTTGTAGCACCACTTAAGACCGTCTTTCTTAAAAATCTTATAAAAGATCAGGGTCGGCCGCTGAAGGGTCGTAGGGAACCGGGTCTCCTGCTCGTACAGCAGTGTCCCCCCCACCCCGGGATCCTGTCATTTCCGGATGTGTGAGCTCCGTGCTTCCTCACCCTTCCCGTGGGACACCTCGATGGTCCAGGTGCAGTTGAGAGAGTTCGGGTAGAAATCCGGGAACCCAGGAGCAAGGACGGTGCCGCTCACGTAGCCGCCGCACAGGGCTGGAAACGAGAAGGACAGGTCAGGGCACTGTCACGGGTTCCCGAGGGCGGCTAGAATGAAACACATTCGACGCGACGTCGATCAGCCAGGGACGAAGAAAAGAGCGAACTCTGCCCCCACGAAACAGAAACGGAGCCGAAGCTTTATTTTACTCGCAACGGCACTGTGCGGGTTCGTACGCAAGCGTCCCACACACTGCACGTCTTAGGAAAACATCGCAGAGCAGTACGGTGCCAGCGGAACCCTCCCGTGACAGGGAACGTTACGTGTCACCTTGACCAAGGCACCCAAACGCGTGGTCAAGCGTGACTCCGGGCGTGTCTGCGAGGTGTCTGCAGACGGGACGCGTGTTGACCGGGCCGACTGAGGAAAGCGCCCGCCCTTCCTGATGCGGGTGGGCCTCGTTCGATCAGCTGAAGGCCTGAATGGAACAAGAACGCATGGCCGCCTGCAAATAGGATGCAGCTCCCGCCGGCCGCTTTCGCTGTCCTTCCCGCTTCAGACTGAGCGGGAGATCGGCAGCTGCTTTTGAGTCGCGGGCAACCAGCCTGCAGACGGCACCTCGACCACGGCTCTGCTGGGCTCCGGCCTGGCGGCTGCCGACCCCGAAACCTGTCCGTCTCCATCACGCTGGAGGCCAAGGCCCTATGATGAATAAGGCGATTTCCCTCGCCCTCTGCGCACACAGGCAGGTGCGGACGCGCACGCCTCCGGGGCTGTCTCTCCGGAGAGCACCGACGCCCCCGGTCAGAGCTGGACAGAGGGCCGGTCTGCATTTCCTCGGCAGCGCGTCGGTGAATTTAAACCCTCTCTGACGAATGTCCTGTTCGACGCGCCTCAGTGACCCGGGTTTGAAGGAGGGGAAGAGCCACATGGAACCGCGCACGGGAGGGGAGGCGCTGACCGTCGGGGGGTCCATGCCACGCTCAGACCGCACCCCTGCGGCCGGCTGCCCGCCATGGTCCGCGAGCTGCCTGCCCTCCCGCCCTCAGCTCCCTCATCCCGAGAATGGAATAGTGGAGAACCCGCCTCCCAGGCCACCGTCGGCGACGGTGGCCACTGGACGGGGTCTGATGGATACTACACACCCGACACCCGGCTCTCAGTAACGACGGACAGGTGTTAGGCCTCGGAGGTGTGGACGGACGCAGTGGGCCCTGCTTCTGCGGACAGGTGGCTGCTGGGCACGTTCTTGCCAGTGTATTTTCTTTCCTCCCTCACTGAGCTGAAGAGGGGTCAAAGGCCATGAACTCGGCAAAGCAGGGGCGTGGAGGGGGCGGGGGAGCTGGGGCCCTCCCCCCAAACGTCTCCACGTGTGTCACAGACTCAGGCTGCTGGGACCCTCACCGCAGGTGCTGCGCCTCCCGGCTGGTGGCACGGAGCACGTTTCTCTGCCCCCTGTGTCCCTCCCCATGCCCTCACAGGTATAAAGAACAGCAAGAATCCCCATTCGCTGGGCGTCGCGAGAAGGAAATGAGTTAACGCCGTGAAGGACTCAGACCCGCGTCTCGGGCGCAGACGCTCTGTGGGGATGAAGCCTCAGTGTTGACGCCACGAGGCCCCGCTGGCTCCTTCTCTGCACGCTCGACTCCGCTTCCTCTCCTGACCGGGGCGAGACGGTCCAGCCTCAAATGACTGTAGCTGAACAACTCTCCTAGTCACGTGAGCATCTTGAACTGCGTGTCATAAAAGCCAGTTCCACGAATAGTATTTGCGAAAGAATGAGCTAATTTATGAAAAATGTGATCGTTCTCATCGTGTATTCTAAGAGAAACTTTTTAAATGAATTCTAAAACATGTTAACAGTTTAAGATTGTCGCGTCCTACAATGACATCGACTCTACACTTGATTATGAAAAAGGTAACATTAATATAATATTCGAAATTAATATGTGTGACACATAGTCACTGAGCAGACGCGACCACGCAGGCGCTGTCCTCAGCAGAGCGAAGACGAACATGCACAGACAGCCCACGATCTCTGTTCCAGGGGGCTGGCCTCGCACCCCAGCCCATCGCAGTGCGGGGGGCGGGGGGACGTGAGCCCACGACGTAAGGAGAGGGTCAGATGCCATGCTGGAAGGTGACAAGTGGCGGGGAGAACACTAGGAAGGAAAGACCCACAGGCCATCCAGAGACCTGTGGGGGTCGGGGCCCTATAAATGGGGTGCCCACTTTGACCTGCCCGTCCACCCGCCACCCTGAGTTACGCACTGAGGAACTTGCTATTCCCCGAGCGTCTTCGCTCCTGAACATACAACGAAAACTAAGACGGACAGGTGCCCGTCCCTGCGGAGGGTACATTCGGGCGGGCGAAGGCCTTAGGAAGAGGTAAGCGCGGCTCAGCTTGTTTTCAAAACTCGGAGGAGGTCTGGGTGAGCAGCAAAGTAACGGACACACGTCCACGCAGCTGTCCCGGACACGGACAGGACCTCGGCCGTTTAAAGCAGCGGCAAAAGGGCTGAGGGAGCGCGGGGGGACGTCACCGACCCGGAGTCGACCGCCTGCCCCGCAACCTGTCGGCCCCAGGTGACTGCCGGGCCCTTGGGCCCCTGCTGGTCTCCCCGCGGAGCCCGAGACCCCCACGCGCCGTGCAGGTGGGGACCGCCGCCCGCCCTCGCGTCCTTCCCCGCTGCCCAGACCCTGGCCATGTCCTCTAGTAATTTCAAGCCGGCGGATAAGTCGGCCGTCGTTTCGTGCAAACAAAACCCCAGCTTTAATAAGTTTACGTAGAGTGCCTTCTCTCCCGGGACTGCAGAAAGTGGAGAGCCGCGTGCCTCGGCCGTGTCACAGGCCATCGTCATGTTCTCCGTGACAGGGGCGGGGGAGGGGCGGAATCAAAGATGACGAATTCTGCTCCCTCCCTGGAAGACGCCGCTTAGTTCCACTCTGCGAACTCCGGCCTCGCACCTGACAGGTGCACGTTCTGGGCACTGGATCCCCACTGCTGGCCACATCTGATGCCACACCGGAGCCATTTCTCTGTCCTGCGCCACCCTCATCGCAGGCAAGGACACCTCTGTCCACTCCTGGGTTCTCGCGCCACCTGTACCTGGTGCGTCTCGGCCATTTTGTCTGGTTTATCTCACAGGTCCCTCCCCTGCCTGCTCCTTGAAGAGGCCGAGGGTGAATGCGCAGTCAGCCGCCCGCTTCCTCTCTCTCCATTATCCCCCTTCCCTTTACACTGCTGATCAAGTTCTACTTATAGCAAAGATTTATGAAGCTTCTTTCCTTTTCAAATTATTCATAGCCTCTCTGTGTCGTATGGCAGTCATTTCACCCATCCGTCCGTCCGTCCATCCACCCATCCACCCATCCATCCTATTGGAATCCTTTTCTCCAAAGAAATCATGAGCAAGGACCCTACAATAAACAAGGTGGCTACACGAGGCTGTGCATCGGAGGCTGAGAGTGGTTCCCGGCCCTGCCCAGAGCCCTCGGCTTCACCTCAGAGACCCGTGTGGGGCCGCTGCGGGGCCCCGCGTGCTCCGGCTTCACGCCTCGGCTTTGCCGTCAGGCCTGTGCTCACAGGACCGGCACGAAAGGCCTCGAACCGCCTGCGATCAGGACGTTCCCCTGACACATTCCCTTCGACCCGCCCAGCCTTCTCTCCGAGTCCTGTCTCTTCCTCTCGACCCTGTTCTTCAAGCCGCCTCTTGGAAGTTGTCCCCTGAGCCTTTCGCGATTCCAGGATGGAACTATGTGTTGCCATCTCCTTGTCTAAATACCCTCCCACCTCAGATAAAGCACTCGCTTCCCTGGGTGACTTAAAAAATAAGCCCCTCCTGTCCCCGAGCTGAAGCATCATAACCTTCGCGACCGCGGCTGCAATGCACTGGCTTTCCAATCAAGCTTGTGAGAGTAAACCGTTTACGGAACTTTTTACTTAATGAACATTTTTTCCAAAGTCTTCCTTGCATTTGTCTTTCACCAAAAAAGGACAATTTCTGCCAATGGCCACATCGTTTCTCCAAAACTTGAGAAGGATGAAGAGTGAATAGTAGAAATGAAGCAACGCTGTGGAGATGTGAGAAGCATAGAGTTTAACTTTCTTCATAAAATATTATAATTAATTCTGATTTCTCCTTTCCTTTCCGAGAGCTATGACGTTCTAAAGGTTTAAAAACCCTATTGATGTAGCATTTGTTACAATAAAAACTCATGGGGTTTGCGAGAAGGTGAAGATTTGAAAAGGCAACAAGAATAATACTTAGGGCTAAATGCAGACAGCCAGCCGTGACTGACCAAGATTCTCACGTCAACCCCGAAAGCTTCCCGAGCTTGCTGATTTCTTCGTAGCCCTTTCTCGTGGATTCCCCATTCCCCGCATAGCTCCAGTAAAGCAGAAGCGAAGCAAATAATTTGCTTGCGACCCCCTCGGGAGCTTTAACGTTCCAACTTCGCCAACGTGCGCTGGGTGACAGGGAAGTGGATGCAGGGCCCGAGACTGGGTACCTCCCTTCGCCGTGGGAAAGGCCAGAGGTGCCCACGGCGCCGGGTGCCCCGCAGAGCACACGCGGCCCACCCCGTCTCCTTGACGACGGTCCCCCGGGCTGTCCGCTCCTCCCCGGCTCGCTCCGCTCTCCAAACCCCAGGAATGTGCGGGATGCACCCTGTCGTCACCCCCAGGCCCCAGGAGAGCCGCTGCCCCACAGGCCGCTTCGCAATCCGGCTGCCCCCCGCAAATCTGCTCATGACCGGAACCCCGATTCCGACGGGCCGCTTCCCACGCGTTTTCCA